GCTGGCGACGGTGCTGGTTTCTGATGTAGACGTCTCTCCCCCAGAAGATGGATTCATGCCAGCCTCCTCTCTCCCGGGCACCAAACCACAGCCAAACACTGACCGATTTCCAATTGCACCTGAGCCGGATTTGAACCAGCGTCTGCATGGTGAAATGCTTCACAGCTTATTTCTTCTTTTGCCAAGTCCCTGAAGTGTATCACAGTGACAGCAATACAATAATAGGCAAGACGGAGAGAGCTGCTGCCTTGCCCTCAACTACAGCGCTCCCGTAAGCGCCAGGGTGCCATCCTATGCCCCTGTGCCTACCCAAGGTCTTTCAATGGGACTGACAAACTCTGGTGGATTAGGCCTCACTATGTGCCCACGGAGGGGAGCATTATCATCACCAGTATTTGCAAAAAGAGGAAATTCAGCGCAGGCTGCTTAGGGCACTTGTCCAAAGTGATGCAGATGCTCAGGGCAGAACTGCTAATAAAACCTCGACCTCCTGCCACGCGCAGCCCACGTTTTTTTCTCTGCATAAAACAAAAGCTGCGTCAACCCGGCTCCCCGGGGGACAACGTCAACAGCATCAAGTGCCACCCCCGCTGGCAGGCAGGCTGGCAGCCTCGGAGAGACCTGGGCCGAAGGAATGAATTCTGCGCTCCCGGCTGGACTGGGGTGAAGCGCGCCGGGCTGGGCAGTGCGAGGAAGTCAGCCAGGGCTGTATCTGCGCTGCAAACATGCACGCAGGCCCTCCGTCTCCGGAGCTGTCAGTCTGGCACCTTCCGCTTGCACTAGACTTACGAACAAATTTATTTTTTAAGGGGGCGGGGGAGAAAGCGGCTCTGGAAGAGTGTCAGACGCAGCAGCAGTCAACGCCAGACAGCCTGCTTCCTTTCTCAATATTCCCCTCTGCGGGGAATGCAGAGCACATTTCTCTCCTCTGTTTGTGGGGGGGTCGGGGGACAGCTAGAAATCCAGACGCAAGCACCTCGCACCTCCTGCTGTGACGCTCCGGGACGAGCCTCTTCCCTGCAGACGCAGCACGCTTCTGTGCTCGCCTTCCCCCAGCCAAAGGCATCGGTTGTGCTTGCCGTGCCTAGCTCCCCCACCCCAGCGCCCGCGTGCCAAGAGCCAGCTGCCTCTGCTCGAAACCCATCCATCGGGACCCGGGAACAAAGCCAGAGAGCTAACAGGTGCGCCTTGCTTGAACCTGCCAAAGGGCACTCAGCTGCCTAGATGCCCGCCTTCTTCCCTTTCTTCCTCCCCCGCTGCCCACTTCAGACCCAGGCTTGCCGATGCGCGCGGGAAACCAGAACAGGGGCAGGCTTCTGTCCTGACTCGCTTCTGCTACAGGGCAAGGCCGGACGGCTCAGTCCAGCTGCTGGGCAGTCTTCGAGCAGGCAGCGTTCATGAGCGGCGTGTGCAACAACTTCAGGGCAAGCGTCCAAAGGGTTGCGTCTGCGACTGTCTCCTCGAGAGAACTTCATGGCGGTGCAATACATACACAATGGATTTTTAAAGGTATTTTGGTGCTGAAAGATGGAGAGAGGCACCCAGTGGTATTTTCAGAAGCCCGCAATTCCTTCTTCTCCGCATGTACTCTGGAAACAGCCGTCTGATTGACTGCCAGAGCTACAGGGCATCCAGGGGCTTTTGGAAAACTCACCTGGCCCCTCTCTGCATCTCTCGGTGCCTGAATACCTTAAAGAGAGAGCCTGGCCCAGTATCAGCAATGTCCAATATCCCCAAACCCTGCATGCAAGGTCCCTCCGGAGCACAGAGCTGCTGACTTACCTGCATTTTATCACTTGTTATCAAGCTCCCCCTTTGAATAGCTTAACCCCTTTAGCATCACGGGGAAGACGGGCGATGACAAAGCAGGACGCATGTACAACCTACGGCCATGTCCACATTTGGTTCCCCGTGGCCAATCAGCTGTGGGACACCTTGTGCCGCGCTGCTAGTTGTCCCTGGGAAAGGCCTGTGCCATGCGCCTTTTGGCACGGGGCACTACCCTGGGTGGAGTAGGGGAGGCTAGGACTAGCACTAGGGTGGCCCCAGCAGCCTTACCTGAGACCCTGGGGACCTCCTGGGACTGCAGCAGTGACAATCCTGCTGCCCGGAGCCTGGGTCAGCAGTTGAAACATGGCTCCAGTTTTGAGCGGCTGCTCCTACGTGCGCTGCTCCGCTTTATTTTTGTTCCGGTTATTTTTTACATGTCTGCGGTACCACATACCGCACGGCCGCACGCATCAGGACACGGTCTATCCTATGTTTTTGATCCTGTTTGAATTCAGACACTCAGACCATAGTTTCATAGTAGCTAGGGTCAGGAGGGACCTGAACAGATCATCTAGCCTGCCCCCCTGCCA